GGACAGAAAGTGTTTTTCCATGCACTCACAGACACTTAAGAAATTGGTTGTTGGTTATTGTGCAAATTTCATGGTATCCTAACAACAGCCTGATCGCACAAGCATTGTGATGCCCTGTATTTTCTATTACTTTAATCAAGATTCTCTTGTCATTTACAAATCCAAGCGCAAACTTAAGTGAAGTTCAATTTTGGAAACCAGTCAGAACAAACTGTCCACAGTCAAACAAAAATTGGACAGCAGCATAAAACAAAAATGCATTATTCTATGGTGATGTACTTCTGCACATTTCAAATAACCCCTTATAGTTGAAAATACTGCGCTTGATTGGCAAGCATTACATCAGCTATGGATAGTGATGAGGATCTTCACAACTTTATAAGGGTAACTCTATTAATATATTAATACAATCATGCATTTTCATCGTCTCCATACAACAAAAAGTGGGCAGGGAAAAGATATCTTCAAAATTACAATGTAATTACAATTACAATTTAAGAAAAGAATTGTCGTCAAGTGTTATGGTCCAGACTAAGAGAAGATTACTGAATGAACAAAGGCATTCTTACCATCGTGTTTACATTTGTAACTGTTTACAAAACAGTGGTTTCCAACTTAAAAGCATTTTGTGTAAACAATGTGTACTTCTTTGACAGCTCCTATCGGTAAACTTCAAATTTCAATTACAGTTTTTATTCCAAAATTCAATAAATTTACGTGTGCCAAAGGATGCTTTTTGGGCACTGAATATACCACTCATGGGAGGTGGCAATTTTTCCAGCAGTTAGGCAGTCATGATACATAGAAACATAGCTTAAATGACCTCAAATCATCTGAAGTCAAATTTTCCAAGCTTCTTTTAGGGGAAATTGTATTGAAGGTTGATAAGAATCCTACTGATGTAAACCAATGTGGCAATTCAAGGATTCAGTTGCCTCACAAATTCAGTCAACCCAGCCAAAAGACCACATCCATCAGAATATTTTATTTCAATTGCTATTTACTTATAAAAGACCTTTAAAGGGAGTTCTGTTAGTCTTTGAGGGAAACCTTTCAGGATTTGCAAATTGCCATTTTTCCTTTCAATACTATCTTCCCACTTAACATAATCCTTTATCAACTCAGTTACTCCCCAGTTATTTAGAGATTCACAATATAACAAAAGAAAGATGGTATTTTTACATGACTTGTTCAGACGCTGGGGTTCCAAGAGTTGTGCCAACTCACTTACCATTTTCCTCAAAAGAAATAATTGTGATTAACCATGGAATATACTCTGTCAATCTCAATCCCAAGTAACAACCACACTGCCAACTAAACACTGGTTAACAAAGAGGAGAAGATGCATTTCACCTGTGCATTTCTTCAGCAATTATTGATCGCCCACTTCAGAACAAACATGCGGACGTTTTGCATAAACAAACGGATAGCACCCTCCATCTGCTCAACATTCTAGACATTCTAACAGTAAATAATGTGTATCTACACGATGCTTTAAAGTTTTTGCATCTATGGCACAAAGGCCTGCCTAAGTGGATCCATTCCAAAATCATTTTCAATATGCAAGCAGAATTCATGTATACAACACCAGATATGCTCCCAACAAACTTATGTAAACCTTGAGTGTGCAAGAACTCTGGAAAACAAACAATTGCTAAGACAATGAAAGCTGACCTTAGCGAAACAATAGATAAGGGAACCTGGAGGTCATCACCAAAAGTCCCACTCTGAAACCAGAAGTGCCAGCGCCCACACAAGCAGAAATGGAAAAGTTTTAATGAAAACAAAGCCTGTTTTTCTGAACATGGTACTCAATATGCTGACCCATACGTGTTGCCCAGTCGCAAAATCCCAATCCAAACTTAGCAGTCATTTAGCCCCCTGGCTCTTCATTTAAACTATTTCTCAGTGTTCTAACTATTTCGTATTTTAAATTTGTAATGCACATCAGTGTATAAAGTATTACACATTATGCGTAAAAAATGGTCTCTTACTCACCAGGAACTAAGACCAATAATTTTAAACCTTAAATACAACTACCAGCCAGAAAAAGGAAGCAAAAATTTGCTTCATATGCAATTTAGGCAGCTATCTATGAAAGTTGGTAAATTAAATAACTAAGTGAAAAAAACTTTGTAAGAGTGAACAAAGAGAACTAGATGCTGTGTGCCATACATTGTCAGTCAAGCATATGCCCCTCGGAGATTTAATAGACGGATACGGTTGTGGTAATGATAAACAAATTTAATGAAAATTAGACACCAATGCCTAGAGAAAAACACTATCTGGGCTATGTAATTAGATTTTAAATTGATACTTTGAACTATTTTTATTCTACCACAGAATTCTTTTAATTGGTCTTGATATCTTGATACTTACATGTCTGCAATGAAGATAAAGTCATACCAAGGGGTTAGACTTGCCTTTGTATAGATATTCCAGACTGTATTTTGATTTTTTTCTACCGTAATTTTAGCTTTTATCAATTTCTTACTTTCTTATTTGTAATGGGTAATGATATAATCGTACATGGATGACATACATAAGTAGCACTTTGTGCAAAAATTTGCCACCCCCATGCTGACAAATACTAAGAAGTTCAACACGTCTCCCCAGCCCTGCAGGGACTAAGTTTGTCCTATTTTAAGAAACAGCTGCTAGTATGCATACCATACAGTTGCACAATGCTATGAACGGCCTTGAGCCCTCATATAACAAACATTTTGCTTCCAAATTGAAACATTTTCTTTAAGGAGGCATACTTTGCCTGAACTATTTAGGTCACCTCTCAAATGGGTTATAAAGCCCATTTGTTAGGGTATAATCTCTCTCTCTCTTTTTTTTTAACCATAGTAAAATAAACAACTTTGTTTGAATGCAAAGAGCATTTTTTCTTTTTCTGCCATCTTTCTATCCCCTGGACTTCTGTTGTTCCCATAAATTCCAAAGTACACCACAAGGAATATCTCTCTCTATATATATATATAGATATATAGATATATATAATAGGCATATCCACACCTATTATTCTAATCTGCAAAATGGACATCGTGGTAAATTTCGATGCTCTGTTCAATTGTTACACAGGAGCCAAGTTTGTTACTTTTATTGAGTGATGATAATTCAGGTAGGCAGATGATAAGTAATTTTTCTTTGAAGCAGAGGTTGCATCTTTTGCTTGCGCTGTTGTAGGGTGATCTTGATGAAAGAATGCGCCATGAAATAAAGTGGTCAATGTTATTTTCTTTAAGGGCCCAGATATGTTTGCTGAGTTCGGTAGAGTTTCTCTGTTTTGTGTGTTGGAATGATGCGGTGTGGTTTCTGTATCTAGTCTTGAAGTTGTTTTCTGCAAGTCTGATGTATGTCTCAGTGGTGCGGTTGTCCTTACATGTGACGGTGGCTTGGTAGATTAGTGATGACTGGAGGCAGTTTCCGTTAAGAGGGCATGTGATCTTCTGTCGGCAGCTGCAATTTTTGGTGTCTTTTGTGTTGGTGTTATCTGTGGTGTCATTGATGTGTTTGGATGAATTTAAAATGCATCTGTTGTGGTTGTTGATGATCTGTTTAGTGTTATTCATGCAGCTGTAACTGATTT